GAGTGAGGTGTGGGTCTTGCTTGAGTCTTTTGCAGATATTTTCCCAACACCATTTTTTAAAAAGGCTGTCATTTCCCCACTTCACTGATTTCATTTTCTTGTTAAAAATCAGTTGACCATGGATAAATGGGTTGATCTCTGGACTCTCAATTTGATTCCATTGATCTATGTGTCTGTCATTGTACCAGTACCATGCTGTCTTTACCACTACGGCAGTGTCGTAAGATTTGAAATCAGGGAGTGAGATGCCTCCTGCCATTCTTCTATTCTTCAGGAGTGCTTTGCTTATTTGGGGCTTTTCCCCATTCCATACGAAATTGGAGATTGCCTTTTCCATCTCGTTGAAGAATGGGATTGGTATTTGTAGTTTCAACACATGAGTAATTAGGTATTCTGGAATTTCCATCTTCAAATGTTAGTCATAATTTGTTATTGTCCACACAAATGCCTTTGCATAATAAAGAAAGACAAATAGACATTCTTCAGGAATTCTTTACTTTCATCCAGGATCCATCTGACATCAGCAGTGATATTCCTGGTGCAACAACCTCTTCTAAACCTAACGTGGACTTACGGCAATTATCTGTCATATTCTGTTCTTGCTATTTTTGGATAATCTTCAGCAATATTTTGTTTACATATTGTATTAATCATGTTGTTCTGTAATTTTCATTCTGTTAGGGCACCTTTCTTGAGAACAGGAACAAATATGAATCTCTTCCAGTCAGCCAATCAGGCAGCTGTCATTCAAATTTTCTGGCATGGTTAGTTGAAACATATTGGTTGGTATGCCATAAATCATTTGTGCCTTAATTTTTTGCCAATGCCTTCAGTGTACCTTGAACTTCTTTCATTACTATTGGCTCTTGATCATATGATACTTCCTGAAATAATTTAGTGTCAGCCAATTCTTTCTGGTATGGTGAATCTGTGTATTATCTCCATCTGCTTTGAGCTTATTGGATCATGCATGATTTTGCCCATAGCATCTCTCAGTACTACAACTCAAGCCTTGAATTTGTTTCTCAGTTCTTTCAACTTAAGTAATGCTGAGTACGCTCTTCCCATTTTATTCTCTGATCCCAGCTGTTTGCACACTCTAATACTTTGCTGTCTTCTTGAGCTGTCCTTTGACATTTTCTGTTTAGTTCAATTACTTCCATATCTCTTCCCTTAATTTTGACTTCTTAACATTTAACTGCAATTTTCAATCTCTTCTGACATTCATTTTCATTTTTTCTTTCTTTTTTATCTTTGTAATAACTTGTAATTACAGCATAATATTTTGGTTCAACTAATATTTTTAATATTGACATTCTGTTTTGTCT